TGATGTGAGCGGATTCTGTGCTGTGATATTGTCTAAAACCAGACTGAAATTTATCCAAGACCCCAAAGTTGTTCAGATGGGGCATGATTTGATTATAAACAGCCTTTTCCATCACTTTTGACAAGAAGGGGAGCTTTGAAATGGGGCGAAAGTTCCCGAGGTCAGTTGGGTCTAGGCCAGATTTTTTCAGTAGTGGTTGAAGCACGGCATGTTTAAAAACAGAGGGTATAATTCCCGAAACAAGGCTGGAGTTAATAATATTGAGCACATGAGGGGCTACCACTGGAAGAACCTCCTGGAAGAGTCTGGCTGGTACAATGTCATCAGGACATCCTGATGGCTTCATGGAAGATATTAATCTCTCCAGGGCAGGCAGTGTAATCGGCTCAAAATGGTCAAAGCATCCGGTACAAACTGATACGGGTAGCAGAACATCTGCAGGGGAAATGATTAGACTCCTAATATTGGAGACTTTGTCTAAGAAAAAACTTTAAAATTGGGAGCAGAGATCATCTGTGATTGCAACTGTAGGAGAGTAATCACTCGACAAAACTGCATTTAGCGTTTTATATAAAACCCTCTGGTTCCCAGAATGGGTAGTAATAATGCTGGCAAAGTATTTATTTCTAGAATTCCTGACTGCTTTCTGATATTCATCTAGTGCATTTCTAAAAAGTTCATGGGAAATGGGATACAGATTACATTTATGCTTTCTTTATCATTTCCTATTGATACCTAAGAAGAAGAAGAAGAAGAAGAAGAAGAAGAAGAAGAAGAAGAAGAAGAAGAAGAAAGTATCATTTCTATAGCGCCTCTCAAGATAAAAATCAAGAGGCACTTCATAAAAACAAAAAATGTAAAAATATAAAAAAGAATTAAAAAAATTATTAAAAATATATTTAAAATGAGCAAAAAATGGACAATTGTGATTCAAAATGTACAGAAAGAGAGAGAGAGTGAATAGGAAAGAGGGAAATCAGTGGATCCAGAGGAAGGTGGAATAGGTAGGGAGAGCAGAACAAGGAGAGGGTGATGAAGATCATCAAAAGCCATCCTGAACAGGTGTCTTCAGCTGCTTTTTCAATTCAATTCAGAGATACTTTATTAATCCCAGACGGAAATTAGAGTTTCAGTACACACAATTCTGAGATCAGACATACATACATAGGCATAGACACATGACAAGAATCTGTGACTGTGGTCATTCGCAACCCGAGTTGCGCTACCTTAGTAGAGATCAGAGGGTTTATATGAGGGTTGAGTCAGGTGGAGGAAAAAAAGGCACTTCAGAGTTACCCTCCACAGGGAGCACAGCTTTGCTATGCAAAAAAACACCTCAGACAGAAATGCAGCAGACTTCAGACATTACACAACATAAGTGTCCACTAGGTGGGGAGGTAGGGTTGGGGACTCTCCTCACATCAGTGCGTGCAGCCGTGATAAGCAGCGCTCTTCACCTCCATTTGGACAGGGGAAGGAGGTATTTGGGTTAGAGAGCACAGTGACTCCTGGAAACGATTCAACGGCCTTCACCAGTCGCAGTCCCGCCCAGGCTGGGATAGGGAGACAGAGTTACCATGGTGACGGCAGCTTTCTACATTTCTTCTGAGGGGGAGTAATCACTTCAGCCTCACAGGCTCAAGGGCACCAGATTCAGATAAGAACTTGTTTTGGGGACAGACAGAGATAATTTCCTCTCCGTCTTAAAGTTCTGTTGGTCTTCAACCCCTCTAGATCCAATAATGGCGTAATTAATCTATCCCAATCCGTGCTGATCCGTCAACTCGCTCCTTGATGGAATCCATCTTCTGTGCCAGAGCTGAATCCCAGCCAAAGTTCCAAGCTTACGACTCATCTCGACAATTATATGAGTTTGTGCGTTCACAGCACGGTGTAATCCATCCCTGAGCTCCGGGATTGAGCCAATATTCCTCGAAAGCTCGTTAATTTTCCGGTAAGCCAGGTAACCACTCAGGCCAAACAGCAGGAATCCCGACACCAAAACGATGAATATCCAAACATCTTCAGAATCCTCTACAGACATTTGAGAGAGGCAGATCAGGTTCTACTGTTTCCAGGAGTCCATGATATACCCAACTGGCTCTGTCCCAGAGGGGCATCCGGGAACCCCTTCTCCCATTCTCATCGTTGAAAAAATGTTGTCAATCGTGTTGAGAGATCAACTGACCAGATCCATTTTTAATCATTTCCAGTTTCCAGCAAAAATGCAGAAGCGCCGTACACCCAAAGGCAGACAAAGAGCCTTGGGATAAGATAGGGAGGAGATGAGGAAAAAAGCGTCTGTACTCTCCAAGAGCCGGAAGAAGAATGAAAAGGAGACCACTGAGTCCTCTGATCTCAGGCTCAGGGGGAGAGAGTTCCAGAGTCTGGGGGCCACAGCAGCAAATGATCTGTCACCTTTGGTCTTTAGCCTGGTGCTGCACAACCAGTAGGCTTTGATCACTGGACCTCAGGGACCTGCTGGGGTTGTAGGGACTAAGAAGATCACCAATGTAAGGTGGTGCTTGTCCATGTAAGGTCCTATAAACCAGAACCAGGATCTTGAAATGAACCCTGAAGTTGACCGGAAACCAATGAAGCTGGAGGAGAAGCGGGGTGATGTGGGTGTGTTTGGAGGACTTGGTCAGAAGCCGAGCACAGGCATTCTGAACCACCTGTAGACGGTTCAGGGAGGTTCTGCTCAGACACGTGAAAAGAGAGTTACAGTAGTCTAAGCGTGAAGAGAGGAAGGTGTGGA